ATTTTGTTTAACGTTTTTCGTTTTTTTAGTTAAACAAAAGTTGCAGTGACCGGGCAGGTGTGATGGCTCATGCCTGCAATCCCAGCACTTTGGAAGGCCGAGGCGGGGACGGGGGGCAGGGGAAATCACTTATTGAGGTCAGAAGTTTGAGACCAGCCTGGCCAATATGACAAAACCCCGTCTCTACTAAAAACATAAAAATTAGCCAGGCATGGTGGCGAGTGCTTGTAATCCCAGCTACTTGAGAGGTTGAGGCATGAGAATCACTTGAACCTAGGAGGCGGAGGTTGCAGTGAGCTAAGATTACACCACTGTACTCCAGCCTGGGCAACAGAGTAAGACTCCATCTCAAAAAACAAAAATGTTCCAAGTACAATACAAAGAAATTCTCTCCCAATTTGAGAGTAAGTTGCTGATATTATACCCTATGACCTCCCCACCCAATGCTTTAGTGGGTATTTCCTAGAAACAATGACATTTTCCTGCACAGCCATCAGAATCAGGAAATTAATATTGATATGTTATTACCATCTAAACCTCTGACTGAATTCTAGTTCTGCCAGTTGTCCCAATAAAGTTCTTAGCAAAATGATCTGGTTTAGAATCACACTTTTCACTTAGTCATCATGTCTCTTTAATGTTCTTCCATCTGGAACAGTTCCTCAGTCTTCCCTTGCCTCATGATCTGGAACCTTTTAAAGACTATAGGCCAGTTATTTGTAGGTTGTCCTTCAGTGCGCGCTTGTCTGAGGTTTCCTCACGTTTTGAGTCAAGTCATGCATCTCTGACAGGAATCTCACAGTCTGATTCTGTGTTCTCACTGCATTCTAGCAGGAAGTACACGATCTGTTCCATTATTGGTGATGTTAACGATCATTGGTTAGAGTTTTTTCTTGGCTATGAAGTGATGCCTGCCAAAGCATATTTTACTACCACTACTGTTCAACATTCTCCTAAAGATCCCAGCCAGTGTAACAAGGAAAAAAATAAAGAACCAGTATAATAATTGGAAAGGACAAAATAAAACTATCATTATTCTTCTTCTTCTTTTTTTTTTTTTTTTTTTTTGAGACAGAGTCTCACTCTGTTGCCCAGAGCTGGAGTGCAGTGGCATGATCTCCGCTCACTGCAACCTCCACCTCCCTGGTTCAAGTGATTCTTGTGCCTCAGCCTCCCAAGTAGCTGGGATTACAGGTACGTGCCACCACACCTAGCTAATTTCTGTATTTTTAGTAGAGGCAGGGTTTCACCACGTTGGCCAGGCTGGTCTCGAACTCCTGACCTCAGGTGATCCACCCACCTCAGCCTCCCAAAGTGCTGGGATTACAGGCATGAGCCACCGCGCCCTGCCAACTATCATTATTCTCAGATAGCATGGTTCTGTATGTGGTTCTGTATGTAGAAAATCCATAAGAATGGTTACAGATAAAACTATTATGATAAGTAAATTTCACAAGATCGCTGGATGTAACACCAATATACAAACATCTACTGTATTTAAATATGTTGAAACTAATGATTAGAAAATGGAGTTTTTAAACAAAAGATACTATTTACAGTAGCATCAAAAACTATCAAACATCCAGACAATATCAAATATCTACACAATCTAGTAAAGGATATACAAGGCCTAGACACAAAATCTGTAAGAGGCTACTGAAATTAAAGAGTACCTCAATAAATATAGGGTTGTAACATGCCCATTGGTTGGAATACTTAATATTGTAAAGATATTCTCTCCAAATTCATCTACAGATCCAACACAATACAGGTCAAATCATGGGTGCCTTTTCAGATACAAGACATATCTATACTTTATGTTCACATGCAAAGGATTAGAATAACCAGATAACTACTAGATAATCTGAGAAAAAATGGGAGCTTTTTTTGAAGGACAAATACCAAGTCTTTTTCTAAAGCTTGTATTCTGCAAGGATGGCAGACTAAACCCATGGAACAGAAGAGCTAGTTCAGAAGCAGGCCCTCACATATTTGGACACTGGATTTTTGAAGAGTTGCTCTGCAGACCAGTGGGGGAAAAGATGGTCTTTTCAATAAATGGTGCTGGGTCAACCAAGTATCCATATGGGGAAAAATATATCTTCTTCCCTCCATTAGACTATACACAAAAATCTATGCCAGAGAGACTGCAGATCTAAATGCAAAAGGTGGAAGAATAAAGCTTTTAGAAGAAAATATTCATAACTTTGGAGTAGGCAAAAGTTTCTCAAAGCATACTCGAAAACCATTAACTATTTAGGGAAAGGTTCATAAATCAGACTGTATTAAAATGAAGAACTTCTGTTCATCAAAAGATTACCATTAAGAGAGTGAAAACACAAGCCACAGGGAGAAAACATTCACTACAGACATAGCTCACAAGGATTCCTATTGAAACAATATAAAGAGCTCCTACAAATCATTTAAAAAAAAAAAAGCCCAGTAGAAAAATGGGCAAAATACCTAAGCAGACACTTCATTAAAGAGGTTATCCAAATGAACATAAATATATTTTTTAAAGTTCTCAGCTATGTTAGTAATTAGGGAAATACAGTAAAACCACAATTTCATACCATTACCTATCAACCAGAATGGCTAAGATTAAAAAGACAGACAATGCTAAACGTTAGCAAGGAGTTTAAGTTGGTACAACGACTTTGGAAAACTATGTCCTACTTAAGCTGAACACAAGTAAACCCTATGACCCAGTAATTCCATCCCTGGGTATATATCAGTATATGCGTTCACATAAAGATATATTATTGTATTTGTAGGTACACTATTTATAATATAAAAGCTCCAGAGTGAAAATTACCCAAATGTTTATCAACAGCAGAATGGATAAATTGTGAAACATCCACAATTAAATACTATATTACAGTGAGAATAAATGAACTACATCTACACACAAACATAATGTTAAGCAAAAAATATCTAAGGTACGTCATTTGCATAAATACAAAACTAGGCAAAGCAAATCTATACAAGATGTCAGGATAATGGTTACCCTTGGGGCAAGGGTGGTGACTAGATGAAGACAGGAGGGGGGCTTCTGGAATGTGGCAATGTCCTGTTCTTACGAGGATGCTAGTTGCTTGGGTGTGTTCAGTTTTCACTCTTCTTTATGTATATCATACTTCAATAAAAGTTCACGGAGAATCATCTCCAGGTGGATTGTAGAACTAAATGTGAAAGGCAAAACAACTGTCTAGTAGATCACATAGGAAAATATGATGGGGGTAAGGGAAGATTTCTTAAGGTACATGCACATGCACACACACCCAATCCACTAACCTAAAGTAAATAATTGAACTACATAAAAATTGGAAACTTCTCGGTCAGGCATGGTGGCTCACGCCTGTAATCCCAGCATTGTGGGAGTCTGAGGCAAGTGGGTCACTTGAGCTTAGGAGTTGGAGACCAGCCTGGGCCACATGTCAAAACCACGTCTCTACAAAAAATACAAAAGTTAGACAGGCCTCTTGGCCTGTGCATATAGTCCCGGCTATTTGGGAGGCTGAGGAGGAGGATCTCTTGAGCCTGAGAGGTCATGGTTGTAGTGAGTCCTGATGGCACCACTGCACTCTGGCCTAGGTGACAAAGCGAGACCCTGTCTTAAAAAAAAAAAAAATTCTAATCATCAGACAACACCATTAAGAGTGAAAAGGCAAGCCACAGAGTGTGTTCATATCCCTAATATATAAAGAAATTCCAAGAATCAATAAGAAAAAAGGCAGACAACTCCATAAGGAAAAAAATGAGCCAAGGACTCGAAAGAACACTTCACAAAGGAAGCTATCAGAATGGGCACCATACGCATGAGAAAGTTCTCAGCTTCATTAAATTAGAGAAAAGCAAAGCAGTAGTGCAATACCACCACACACCCATCAGAATAGCTAAAGTTATAGACTTAAAATGCAAACAAGGCTGAAGGTGGAAGCCATGAAAACCCTTACACACCGCTGGAGTGTGTATGTTATTTCGGCCTCTTAGTATAACTGTTGGGCATTACTTATTGATGATAGATATCATACCCTATGTCCCAGCAATTCCACTCCAGGAGAAACTTATGCAAATGTGCATCAGATCCACGTACCAGAAAATTCATAGCAGCATTACTCAGAATAGCCCTAAACAGAAAACAACTTTGATGTCCATCAACAGCAGAATAAGTAATTTATGGTATAATATATACAATGGAACTCTCTTCAGCAGCGAAAGCAAACAAACCATCTCTGTAGGCAACCTGGATGGACTCCAGACATAATATAGACTCAAAGAAACTAGGCCAAAAAAAGCATACTGCATGATTCTATTTATATCAAAAGCAAGCAAAACGAATCTGTAGTGTTGAGTTCGCGGTTGCCTTTGGGAAAGAGGAAGGCTTTCAGAATAGTGGTTTTTTGGATCTCGGTGTCGGCTAAGCAGTTGTGTTCACTCTGGTCATTAATCACGCTGTAAATTCCTCATATGCACACTTTTCTGTATATCATACTTCATACGAATATTCAGAAGTCTAAAGGCCACAAGCTTAACCGCAAACCCTACCGTGCCCTAGGCCAGGTTGGACTTGCGGAGCTTTGGGGTTGTCCCGGCGACCTGTCCCAGGTGGGCCACCTAGCCCGGGATCTCACACTGTAACCCGGAGCCAAGGCCCAGGCCCAGGACGGGTACCTGAACTCCTGGACCCTTCACTGAACCCCACGGGTCCCCGCGCCGGCTGGTGGAGGGAGAGCAGTCACAGCTTCCCGTCCCACCTCAAGGTGCGCTAATGCATGAAAAAGTTCCCCTCGGATGTTTCCACATTCGCCTTAACTTTTAAACACCAACGTCTGGTATCATAGGTTCTCCAGACTCCAAACACACCCCAGGAAAGAACCCACAAGCAGACACAGCCGCTGCGCGCGCGGCAAGACTTCCGGCCATAACGACCCCGAAGGCGTGGCTCTTCGATTGCTTCGGCCTGGCGGGCGAGCTGCGCGCGCACTCGGCGGCTGCGATTGGTGCTGCCTGGCGGTGGGGCGCGGGGCACGCTGGGACGTCTCGCTGGCGGGAGGCCACGGGCTTTCCACGGTGCGAGGAGACGGGAGGCAGCAGGATGGTCAAGCTGACGGCGGAGCTGATCGAGCAGGCGGCGCAGTACACCAACGCGGTGCGCGACCGGGAGCTGGACCTCCGAGGTGAGTCCGAGGGCGTGGGCGGCCAGTCCCCGGGCTGCACCGCGTTGCCTTATTATCCGCGCTCTGCCGCGTGCACCGAAGGCCGGAGCTTGGCCCGCGGGCCGGTTGTCTGGGCTCCGACCGGGCTGCGCAGGGAACGCGGGGCCTGATTCTTGCCGTTGTTGCCAAATGAGCATCCGGTTAGGCTCTTGGGAGCCTTGTCTTACCGCCGTGCCTCTTGACAGGCGCGAGTGACTTCATTACTTCCTGGTGCATACTCGTGGGGCTCTGTTAGGCCTTGCTTGGCTGTTTCGCAGTTGGCTCTGTTTGAGGGCCCGGAAGAGCGGCTCGTTAATGGTTATAACGCTAGTGCAGGGCGAGTGATTGGTTCTTAATACTTGCCGCCAGACGATATTTTGAGCGTAGATGGGATGTGTGTTCGTTGTTCCTAATGTGAGGGAGGAAACCAAGTCCCCGAACAACAGCGATTGTTTCCCCCAGTATTTTGTACTTAGTAGCTTTGTCTGGCGTTTCCCCTTTATGAAGACGTTTTAAAAATTGAACTGTGTGACCCAGGTTTGCACTGCCCTGTGCTGCGTGTAAGTTGTGGAAGCGCTCGCAATTATTCAGATTCCTGTACTATTTCAACCTTAGGAAGACTTGGTAAGATATTGGGAGGGCAGCTAGCCTGTTGGCATTTCAGGAGACGACTTTAAAAAGGATGTGAAGAGCAACTTCTCTGGGGATAAGACCATGCAGCCGTAGCCTGAGATTTGTTCCCACGGGGACCTATGGCTTCGGAGCAGCATCGCTGCGGGATCTGCTTAGATTTCTTGCTGATCTTTGGGAAACCCCGTTGTGTTGTGTTGTGTTGTGTTGTGGTGTTGTGTTGTGTGGGAGTCTCGCTCTTTCGCCCCAGCTGGCGTGCAGTGGCGTGGTCTCGCCTCACTGCAACCTCCACCTCCCCGGTTCAAGTGATTCCTGTGCCTCAAGCCTCCCGAGTTGTTGGGATTACAGGCGTGAGCCACCACACCTGGCTGATTTTTGTATTTTTAGTAGAGAAGGGGTTTCGCCATGTTGGTCAGGCTAGTCTCGAATTCCTGACCTCAGGTGATCCGCCTCCGCCGGCCTCCCAAAGTGCTGGGATTAAGATGTGAACCACCGCGCTCGGCCCCCAGTATTTTTATTTTGTTGAAATTAAGTTTCTTAGAGAAAGGTTCAGTTCAAAAGCAACTCACCCCCCCCCCCTTTTTTTATTTATTTATTTTTTTTGAGACGGAGTTTCGCTGTTGTTGCCCAGGCTAGAGTGCAATGGCGTTATGTCAGCTCACTGCAACCTCTGCCTCCCGGGTTCAAGCGATTCTCCTGCCTCAACCTCCTGAGTAGCTGGGATTACAGGCCTGTGCCATCATGCCTGGCTAATTTTGTATTTTTAGTAAAGACAGGGTTTCTCCATGTTGGTCAGGGTGGTCTCGAACTCCCGACCTCAGGTGATCCGTCCGCCGCGGTCTCCCAAAGTGCTGAGATTACTTACAGGCTTGAGCCATTGCGCCCGGCCCAACTCACCACTTTTGATGATCTTTGCCATTTCTCTTTATGGAGTACGTGCAGTGTTGAGAATACGTATTTTGATGCAATACGTATAGTATAGCTCTGAATTGTGCCCTTTAACTTTGGGTGAATTCTTTTTTAGTAGACCTTGCTTCTTTGGAATATTTCTTTTCTTATAGTGCCTAACACAATAATTATGCTCAAATTGGACAAATTAACATTTGAGTGTTCACAGGTTTATTACTCTATGTAAACCATTGAGTTCTTCAACTCTAAATTGTAGCTGGGGGAGGGGAGAGAGAACTGTCATATCTTGAGGCTGTTCTGATGGGTTCTAAGAATCTGGCCCGTGGAGGTGCAAGAGTGGAGAACTGTTATCCACAATGTTTGAACGCTGTTTGGGCACTGAGACTAAGCAGCTCAAAGTGTAAATTCCTGTTGTGCGGATTCCGCTTAACTAGCCCAAACGACTTAGAACAGTGTGAGGCACCTTGTAAATGTTCTTATAAATGTTAGCTACCTATATCACCCATTATTATTGTTCTTGTCCTTGTTGTCATTAGATTGTAAGCTTCATGGCACTGGGTACTTGAGACTCGTTCAACATTTTCTCTCTAGTATCTTGTACAGTGGCAAGGCATGTATGACATGGCATAGGTGCTAGGTAATGCTTCCTGAATAAATCAAAGCCTGGAATCAGATACTATGAAATACTGCTAATGTTTTAAGGGGCTGTTTAGTTATATTAATACCTCTTGTGTGTTTTTTTCCTCCATTTTACAGGGTATAAAATTCCCGTCATTGAAAATCTAGGTGCTACATTAGACCAGTTTGATGCTATTGATTTTTCTGACAATGAGATCAGGAAACTGGATGGTTTTCCTTTGTTGAGAAGACTGAAAACATTGTTAGTGAACAACAACAGAATATGGTAAGTGCCTGTAGGGGAAAGTAACTTTTTCCCCCTAGGGTAAATGTTGCAGTGTTCCCTGAAAAAGTTGTAGCACATACTACCGGTTAAACCTACATGTTTTGTTTTTTTTTTAATTTTTATAATTTTAAAAAATATTTTTTCCATAATGGAAGCCACGTTCAATACATGTTTTTTCTTAAAATGAGAAATGAACTTCACTTTTCCTATAGAGATCCAGAGATTAACCTGGCTTTAGTCTAGTCTTGTATCTGTTCGGAAATCATGTATTTTTATTTTCATGGTAAGTTTCTAATTAAAAGCATGTTGCTTTGTATACATTTTGGCTTCTAGAACAATTATCAAAGGGGTCATAGTAAAAGCATATATAAAGGTAACAATTATACTTTTGACTGAGCGTCTCTGCTATTTTTTTTTAACTGCAACTGATTTCTAGACTGTTACTTACTGAAATTGAGATATTTTTTGACCCTGTCTTCATCAGCTCTGTGTAAACTTTATTGGAAAAAGGCACTTGGTGTGTAGATAATGTCTTTAAAGGTACTGGATAGTGAGTGGGATTTCCTTCAGATAGAAATATATCTCATAGGTTAACCATTCCCCTATAGTATAGTTGTTGTGTCTTGTACCTGAGCTGTGAATGCAGAATTATTTGTATTTCTACGCTGCCTGCACAAAAAATCATGAAGTGAGTTAAGTAGTTTGTGCCACCCGGGAGTTGCACCTTTTCTCAGGTTCCACTAGACAGTGTGACAGTAGAATTAGCCCCAGGCAGTGTCCCATAGGCATGGGTTCTAAAATCCCACTTCTGTCGCTGAGGCTGTGGCTTCAGAAAAGGGTTCTTTTTGCTTTGTTTCCTCTTTGTCAGGGTGTTGGAAGAAGGATCTGTAAGTGTCTCTCTGAAATCCTCTGAGCAAGGAGGTAATTAAAATTGTGAGCTTATTTAATTTTCACTTTTACTAAGACTCTCTTTTTATTTTAGCCGTATAGGTGAGGGACTTGATCAGGCTCTGCCCTGTCTGACAGAACTCATTCTCACCAATAATAGTCTCGTGGAACTGGTAAGTTGCACAGAAGGAAAATGTATTTGGTGGGTGGGGTTAAAGGTACTATGTGCTTCCTACAGAAAATTTACAAAATCTAGAAAATCTCATAGAAAATGATCTCAGTATCCGCTTGTCTTTTTCTTAATTCAGGATCTGGGCCTTTTGGGTTCTGCAGCTGTATGTTGCAAATATTTTCCTACTCTTACTTGCACTTTGACTTAGGATGTCCTGTTAGAGAAGTTCCTAATTTAGGTGCAGTCCAATGTATCAATCTTTTTCTTTATTGTAGCCGTTTTGATGTTTAAGCTTCCCCTATTCCAGGGTTGTAAACTGCTATGTTGTTTTCTAGAATTGCAGTGTCCAATACAGTACCAGTAACTACAGGTGGCTACTCATAATTAAGATGTGGTAGAACTATAAAATACACACTGGATTTCAAGGACTTAAGTGCAAAAAAAAGAAAAAGTAAACCATCTCAGTAATTTTATATCGATGTTGAAATGGTAATGTTTTGGTAATAGGTTAAATGGCTTATTATTAAAATTAGTTTCACCTATTTATTTTAACATGGCTACTAGAAAATTTTAGATTACATATCTGATGTGCATTAAATCTTGTTGAACAGTTCTAGTATAAAAACCTTGTTTTACTCTTCACATTAGATGAACAGTCCACTTGGAACTGTTTTTATGCTTTTTAAATTTCTGCTCTGTGTATCCAATTTTTAACATAATTGAAATACTGTATATTGTTTTGTAACCTAAATTATTCACTTAAACACTGGATGCTTAAATGTATATTGTAGGCCAGGTGCCATAGCTCATGCCTGTAATCCAAGCACTTTGGGAGGCCAAGGTGGGAGGATCATTTGAGCCCAGGAGTTCTAGACCAGCGTGGGCAACATAGTGAGACCTCGTCTCTCTCTATAAGTAATTTAAAAAAAAAAAAAAAGACCAGGCACAGTGGCTCATGCCTGTAATCCCAGCACTTTGGGAGGCCGAGGCAGGCGGATCACAAGGTGAGGAGTTCGAGACCAGCCTGGGCAATATGGTGAAACCCTGTCTCTACTAAAAATACAAAAATTAGCTGGGTGTGGTGGTGGGCATCTGTAATCCCAGCTTCTCGGGAGGCTGAGATGGGAAAATTGCTTGAACCCAGGGGGCAGAGGTTGCAGTGAGCCAAGATCATGCCACTGCACTCCAGCCTAGGCGAAGAGTGAGACTCCATCTCAAAAAAAAAAAAACCCCAGATGTGGTAACGTGCATCTGTGGTCCCAAGTATTCCAGAGGCTGAAGTGGGAGGATCACTTGAGCCCTAGCAGTCAGTCGAGGCTGCAGTGAGCCATGATCATGCCTCTGCACTCCAGTCTGGGCAATAGTGCGAGACCCCATTTCAAAAAAAAAATCGCATAACTTAATTTTGTGACCTAACCTTCCTCCCGTATTTTCCTGATTGTTGAGAATGAACTGTGTTCCGTTCCTTGTGGACGAGGTCCATAACATCCTTCAGATTCTCAAGGAGATGCTTGACTACAAATGTAAGAAAGCACTGGTCCATGGCCATGTCCTTTCTAAAGTGTGTGGAGTATTCAACCAGAAATACATATTTATAGGCAATGTGTCTCATGATAGGTGCTGTTAGAGAAATTATAGTTGTATTTAAAGCCCTTTGCAAAAATGAAGACCATTGGGCTTATCAGTTACTGAGAGAGTTATGTTAGAATCTCACAGCATGGTAGTGGATTTGACTATCCCTGAAGTTCTGTCAATTTTAGTTTTGTATATTTTGAAGTTGCCTTATTTGATACATGCAAATTTTGAATTACTCATATCTTTCTGGTGAACAGAACCTTTTTATTATGTTGTGACCCTCTGTCTCTATTAAAGCTGTTTACTTTGGGGTTTCTTTTACCTGATATACTAAAACAATCTTTCTTTTGGTTAGTTATATGCATGATAAATCTTTTTCCATCCAAAATTTACTTTCGACTTTTCTGTACCTCTTGTATTTTAGATTTATCTGTTGAAAACTGTATGGTTGGATTTTTTTTTTTTGAGATGGAGTGGCTGGAGCACAGTGGTGAGATCTCGGCTCACTGCAACCTCTGCCTCCTGGGTTCAGGAGATTCTCCTGCTGCCTCAGCCTCCCGAGTAGCTGGGATTACAGGTGGGCACCATCACATCTGGCTAATTTTTGTATTTTTTTTTTTAGTAGAGACAGAGTTTCACCATATTGGTCAGGCTGGTCTTGAACTCCTGACCTTGTGATCCACCCACCTGGGCCTCCCAGAGTGCTGGGATTATAGGTGTGAGCCACCGTGCCAGGCTGTGATTAGAATTTTTTACAATCCAGTCTGAAAGCTCTTTTAAGTGAATTATTTATATTTAGTCTGTTTACATTTAATGTAATTACTGGTGTGTTCCAGTTTGTCTTCTCTCTGTTGTGGGCTTTCTGTTTGTACCATCCATTCTTCAATCCTTTTTCTCTCCTTTATTGTACATGCTCTCCTTCTGTCATTCCATTTTTCCTTCTAATGGTTTAGAAATTACTCTTTTTCAGTCTTGAGTTAGCATCCTAGAAATTAAAACATACATATTTATAAGTTTAAAAGTAAATGTTAAGATCACTGTACTGTGACCTTCAACATTTAATTTTAAACTTTGACACCTTTACCCTCCTAAACAATACGGTACAGTGACCTTCAACATTTCAGCACCCTTCAGCTTGTTACATATTTATTCTTTTTTGAAACCCATCACTACATCACCATTATGTTTTACACTATGTATGTAACAAATGTTACCACTTTGTTCTTCATTCGTTTTTGGATCATCTTCAGTGGGGGTAAAACAGTATCAAGCTCTAGAGCTCCCTCTGGTGGTTTTTGTGACTTATCTGAAGATGGCAGCTTGCTTTTTGAGAATTTCTGGCTCTGCTCTCCCTGTTTTTATTTGTATTTTTTTCTCATTGTGCCTCTTGCACACACATACCCCTCCCCCGCCATCTACCCAATTTGCGTCTGTTCCAGCAGTATCTCTTCAGGGCAGGGCCGCGTTGGGACATGATTTCTGTTAAGAGTGAGGCCCCCGGCCGGGCCTGATGGTTCATGCCTGTAATCCCAGCACTTTGGGAGGCCGAGGCGGGCGGATCACCAGGTCAGGAGATGAGACCATCCTGGCTAACATGGTGAAATCCCCTTGTCAGACCTCTGAGCCCAAGCCAAGCCATCGCATCCTCTGTGGCTTGCACATAGACACCCAGATGGCCTGAAGTAACTGAAGAATCACAAAAGAAGTGCAAATGCCTGGCCCCGCCTTAACTGATGACATTCCACCTCAAAAGAAGTGAAAATGGCCGGTCCTTGCCTTAAGCGATGACATTATCTTGTGAAATTCCTTTTCCCAGCTCATCTTGGCTCAAAAAGCTCCCCCACTGAGCACCTTGTGACCCCTACTCCTGCCAGCCAGAAACAACCCCCTTTTGACTGTAATTTTCCTTTACCTACCTAAATCCTATAAAACAGCCCCACCCTTACCTCCCTTCGCTGACTCTCTTTTCCAACTCAGCCCGCCTGCACCCAGGTGATTAAAAAGCTTTATTGCTCACACAAAGCCTGTTTGGTGGTCTCTTCATGCATGACACCCGTCTCTACTAAAAATACAAAACAAAATTAGCCGGGCGTGGTGGCAGGCTCCTGTAGTCCCAGCTACTCAGGGGGCTGAGGCAGGAGAATGGTGTGAACCCGAGAGGCAGAGCTTGCAGTGAGCCAGGATTGTGCCACTGCACTCCAGCCTGAGTGATAGACCAAGACTCCGTCTCAAAAAAAAGAAAAGAAAGAAATTATTTAAACATTTGTGATGTGCTAGTATTGGGCTTGGTGCTAGAGAGTAAAAGTTAAGTAAATAAATAAAAGACAACTTGCTTCAAAAGCACTCTGCCTCTCCAAATCTCAAAATAGCATGTGGTATTCGTGTTCTTACCTGTGGCCATTACTTTACAGGGTGATCTGGACCCTCTGGCATCTCTCAAATCGCTGACTTACCTAAGGTATGGGAATTACATATTGTGACAAAATGAATGAAGTCCTTTAAAATAACATTACTTCTACCAGCCTTGACCTTAATGTAATCAGTTAATTAAAAGTGCCTTTTACAAAGAAATATTGAATATATTTCCTTAATGGTAAATTGTTACAATGTTGAAATGTGAAGAATGTGAATGTTCCCTTGATTTGTAGGTTCCTTAGACTATTCAAACAGATCTTTTGAGTGCTGTGCCATGAACAAGTTTGCCATTGTGTTACTTTTTTTCTTGTAGTATTCTAAGAAATCCGGTAACCAATAAGAAGCATTACAGATTGTATGTGATTTATAAAGTTCCACAAGTCAGAGTACTGGATTTCCAGAAAGTGAAACTAAAAGTAAGTAGTAATCTATTGCTTGTGAGTCATTATAGAGTTGTGTGTTTTTCTTTATATTTTTATTACTGATTATTAAAATTGTCTAAATGAGTAAATTTTACCATTAGTTTGTAATGAAAGTGGGGGGGAAGTGTTACGTCAAATTTTTTTCTAATAGCAGAGTTTATGATAGAACTTTAAGTTAAAGCTCTTTTATGTAATGCTGGCCATTCCAAAGTTTGCAAAATGTTGAGGCCACAGTGAACACTCTTAACAGTGGATTCTCTGCTTAGATACATTCCCAGTGGAGAACTTAAAGTAACCCACTTTTGTGCAGCTCTGTTTGTTAGGAAGGTTTTTCCCTTTATTAGGAGTTCATTATTTTATTGTTTATTTAATTGCCTTCTTAGTTCCCTGGAATCCCCTCCTTGGAACTAGGAGAGTGAACTTTCTTCAGGGAGCTTTACCAAAGAAAGAAGACCACTGTGTCTTCTCTTAATTTGAAATTGGCTTTTTGGTATTTTCACCAGCCTGGAGTATTGTAGGAGAGTTCACTTCCATGTCTTCTGAGGAATGCATCTAAATGCATGTGGTATTCCTATTTCCATTAACTCTGTGTGTGGTGTCGCTGTAGGAGCGTCAGGAAGCAGAGAAAATGTTCAAGGGCAAACGGGGTGCACAGCTTGCAAAGGATATTGCCAGGAGAAGCAAAACGTAAGACACGGATATCCAACTTAACTCTACTTCACCTTCAGAAACATGATCTGATCTGTCTGGTAGTTCGTCTCCTACAAAATTAACCAAAAACTCTGACATATTAATGTGGTATTAAATCTGAGTGCTTATAGTCCATGTACATCAATGGTCCATACATCACAAGAAATTTCTACCAGGTTAGCAGAGCAAATATTTCAGTAGTCAGTCTCAATGTGATACCATGTACATCCTATTTTCTATATAGGAAGATGAACTGGATGGTGTTTCTGAAGAAGAGAGTTCTTGTATCAGTTTGTTAACAAAGATAAGATACTACACTGGTTGAATTACTTTCAAAAGCTTTTGAAAGTAAAAGAGAAGCAACTTCTGTTGGTCTAGGTTTAACAGTTATGTTCTTCCCCCTCTTAAGTTTTAATCCAGGTGCTGGTTTGCCAACTGACAAAAAGAAAGGTGGGCCATCTCCAGGGGATGTAGAAGCAATCAAGGTAATCATGTGTTAGGCTTCTTGACTGGAACGAGCTAAGATGGGTTCAGAACACAAAGTTGGATAATAAACATATTCTGAACATTGCAGATTTTTTTTCCCCACAGTTATTAGCATACAACAATATTTCTGTTTAAGGAAAAACTAGCATAAAGTTATTATTTGATCAGACTTAAAATTACACAAGCTAATTAATGTGGAGGCAGCTTTGTCTTTCTCATTTTCCAGGGTGCATTTATCACTTTGAACAGTTAGTTACCTTGGTATGCTGTCTCAGTGTTTGCCTTAATTTTTACTTTCAAAGATTTGCTGTCTGGCAAATCCTTTTGGCTGATCAGTAGGGACCCTAGTTTTATAATATTGCCTCCTTAAATTATTCAGTAACATAATTCCAAATCGTTACTTCACTTAGCTACGATTTTAGGACATGTGGAGTGATTATTTACTCTTTTATAAGAAGGCCTGCATCTCTTCACCAATTTTAGAAATTTGTGTTTTGGCTTCTAGTTTTATTTTTGTGGGCCAATAACATTCTTCCCCCAACACCGAAGTGTTTAATATTCCAAATGGAGAAGTTGCTGTGAATTTCTTTAGGTGATTGATACTTAGTTTTCTGGGTAGTTGATACTTGATTGAAGTTAATCATCCATCTCCGTTGCCGTCTGTCCTCCAGAATGCTATAGCAAATGCTTCAACTCTGGCTGAAGTGGAGAGGCTGAAGGGGTTGCTGCAGTCTGGTCAGATCCCTGGCAGAGAACGCAGATCGGGTGAGCAAATGGTGTTCTTTGTACGTTCAAATTAATGTTACACTCAAAGTGTAACTCTCACAACCATTTAGATGCCATGACTCCAGAATGCTAGAATAGTGCCTCCTTACATCAAATCTAATATATGAAATCTCTTTAAATGCTCTTTGAAGATAAAGTATTTGATGGACTGGGTGCGGTGGCTCACCCCTGTAATCCCAACACTTTGGTAGGCTGAGGCAGGCAGATCACCTGAGGTCAGGAGTTCGAGACCAGCCTGACCAACATGGAGAAACCCCGTCTCTACTAAAAATACAAAATTAGCCGGGTGTGGTGGTGCATGCCTATAATCCCAGCTACTCGGAAGGCTGAGGCAGGAGAATAGCTTGAACCTGGGAGTTGGAGGTTGTTGGTGAGCTGAGATCACACCGTTGCACTCCAGCCTGGGCAACGAGCGAAACGCCATCTCAAAAAAAAAAAAAAAAGAAAAAAAAGTGATTCATAAAGAAAGTTAAGTCATAGCACTGGGGAGGGTTTTATGTTAAAGTTGAAGCTAGCATTACTTCAGCAATGGAGTGAACTGAACACTAGAGAGAGCCATGTGGACTTTCACCTGTATATATTTATGTGTGTGCATAATAGCTCAGTAGTTAGGAACACAGGCTCTAGAGCCAAGCAGTCCAAGGCCCAAATCTTAGCTTCACCAGCTCTGCCTTTGGACAGCTTTCTTCAAGTCTTTCTTCATCTTTAAATCTGAGATAATAATAGTACCAAACCTCAAAAGGTCGCCGAGAGGCTAAGAAACTGAACTTAGCACAGGGCTCAACATTAGCGAGTTTTTGATAAGTGGTAACTATTGCAACATTTGAATGCCTACTTTATGCCAGGCAGCATGTGGGGCACTAGGGATATAAAATGAAAAAACACTGAAATATGTCTTACAAGTTTTGATATGAATGTAACTGGGGACCTCTACTTAGACTGCTGTCTTGGGGAAAGTTTCCTAGGGAAATAATGTTTCAGCTGGGAGCTAAAAATGAAAAAGATTTTTTTTTTTTCTTTCTGAGACGGAGTTTTGCTCTTTGCCCAGGCTGGAGTGCAATGGCATGATCTCAGCTCACTCTAACCTCCGCCTTCCAGGTTCAAGCGATTATCCTACCTTAGCCTCCCAGGTAGCTGGGATTACAGGCGCCTACTACTGTGCCCGGCTAATTTTTTTTATTTTAGTAGAGACAGGGTTTCACCATGTTGGCCAGGATGGTCTCGATCTCTTGACCCCGTGATCCGCCCGTCTTGGCCTCCCAAAGTGCTGGGATTACAGGCGTGAGCCACTGTGCCCGGCCAAAAAGACATTTTTTAAGACTAGTAATTCTCTACTGTATGGTTTGTGGGCTTCTGGGAGTCTAAGGTGAAGACTGTTTTGTTGTTGTTGTTGTTGTTGTTTTGAGATGGAGTCTTGCTCTGTCGCCCAGGCTGGAGTGCAGTGGTGCGATCTCACCTCACTGCAGGAATGGGTTCACACAATTCTCCTGCCTTAGCCTCCCAAGTAGCTGGGACTACAGGCGCCTGCCACCACACCTGGCTAATTTTTTGTATTTTTTTTTTTTAGTAGAGACAAGGTTTTACCATGTTAGCCAGGATGGTCTCGATCTCCTGACCTTGTAATCCACCCGCCTTGGCCTCACAAAGTGCTAGGATTACAGGCGTGAGCCACCATGCCTGGCCGAAGACTGTTTTTTATCTAGTAACACCAAGGTGTTACTTGCTTTTGTATGAACATTTGCACTGATGGAGCAATAGTGGGTAGAACTGCTGGCACAGTAGGAGTCAAGGCAGCAGCCTAAATAATAGTTGTTATATTCTTCCCTATTCTGCACTCCCAGTAGAGTGCATACCAGTTTCACTTAAGAGTGTCCTGGATGCAGCAGTAAAGATAATTAAATCTCACTCCTCCAGCATACGTCTCTTTGATATTCTGGGTGATAGAAAGGGGATGCACATGTCTGCATACTTGAGTTAGGTGGTTATCTCCATCACTAGTGCAGTCGTTTCAGTTGAGAGGCAGCTACTTGTCTTCCCAAACATGATGAAGTGAGCCTGACACTTCAAGGAAAACAATTGAAAATTCAAGATTTGAAGCAAAAATTAAAATTTAGAAAACTTGTATCCACTGCCATAACCTTCCCAGTACCTCAAGACTTTTCTGGGGAACTCAATAGTAATGTTAATGCATGTGAATTAATGGGTGTAACATTTTTGATGTTGTGTAATTACATGGCTCAACGTTTGAAAGATCTGCAAAAGTCAGTGAACCACTGTTTTCCAAATGATACAAAATCATGTCTGGGTAAAAGATTTGTTCAAAGTACAAGATAAACCAAGTAAGAGTATGAAAAGTTCATTGATAAGGTTTCAGACTTTTATACTGCCATCTAACCTTTAGGAAGCTACCATTTGTCAAGTTTTACCATGGTATCTAAAAAGAACATCCATCATTATCTGCACGGGCCATTAAAACCTTCCTCCCTTTTCTAACTATATGCCTGTGTGGCCAGATTTTCTTCATGCCCTCAATCAAAATACCATATTGCAACGGATGGAATGATGAAACCAATACAAGAATTCAGCTGACTGATGTTAAGTGAGACATTATTGAGTAATTTTCCCAAATAATTGAAGGAGTTACAACTTTTTTTCCCTCTGGAATACACTGACCAAAATATCTGCCATAAATTGTTGAACAAATGTAACATTTTTTGGTAATTGTTGCCATATTTCCCTAACTTAGAGACAATAAAGTCATTGAACTATTGCCAGTATTTGGCATGTAGTAGGTGCCCAAATGTTTTTGAGTATTTCTGGTTTTTTTGCCTACAGTAGTGCCATGAAAAGCACATGAGTATAGACTTTACCTTCACCAAAAATGAATTATCATCAACTACAATGGGAGGCAACAATTTTGAAACCTTTGTGACCCCTTTCCTTTGAAATTGACTATCCCTTCCAGTACCTGCCAAAGACAGACTAGACTGTCCCTGGCCAATAAGTTCCTCAAAGGCAGGAGCTGCTTTTGATCTTTCTGTACCTACTTCAGTGCCTAACAAACAGTGGCCACAGAACGAACACTCACATGCTAAGGGAATAGAGTCTCTAAAATTGATACTACTTTTGCTTGTGTGGTTTTCTTTAGGGCCCACTGATGATGGTGAAGAAGAGATGGAAGAAGACACAGTCACAAACGGGTCCTGAGCAGTGACGCAGATGTATAATAATAGACCCTTTTGGAACAAGTCTTGCTTTTCGAACATGGTATAATAGCCTTGTTTGTGTTAGCAAAGTGAAATCTATCAGCATTGTTGAAATGCTTAAGACTGCTGCTGATAATTTTGTAATATACGTTTTGAAATCTAAATGTCAATTTTCTACAAATTATAAAAATAAACTCCACTCACTGTGCTGCCAAGTTGTGTGTCATCACGGTGCATTTGCAGTGAGGTCTAAGGACATGTTTAAATTGGAAATGCAGGAGGGCAGCATTTTCTCAGTAGGCTTCCTGGGCTGGATTAGAGTCTAGCTTCTGCAGTGTCATGACACATGCCAGGAAGGCCACCTTTTCTACTCCCACATAGCCCTTCTGTTAATGCAGACTTACCTCTCACTCCGGCTTCTGATATGACAACTGAAATGATTCCATTTTTGAAATTGTTGTGTCCCACCAAGCCTGGCTACGTTTTTTGTCCCCCACCCCCCCGGCTGGTCTCCAACTCTGGCTTCAAGTGATCCTCCCGCCTTGGCCTCCCAAAGTGCTGGGAGTACAGGCCTAAACCACCTACCCAGCCTCTAGTTTTATATAGGTACATAGTTAACATAAAGGTCATATAGAGAGTCTACAAGAACATTTGTTGTTGAAAGGGGCGTAGTTACTCATATTTGAAAAACACTACTGTTTGATTGCCATCTCTCTGATCTCCCTTAGCCATGATAGTCTTAATCCCATCTTGTTGCATATACTTTTGTGAAAACCTTGGCACTTCATCAGTTAGCTATTGCTGCAATAATGCTGTATAACAATCCACCACAAAACTCAGGGGTTTTCATCAGCAACACTATTCTATAGTTGACTCTGCTTATCACTGTAGGTCTGGATTAACTGGGGTGGCTTGGTTTCTTTACAGGTCTCGATGAGCCAGCTCACCCGGCAAAGGCACAGGAAGTAAACACTAGGAGCTTCTTAAGGCCTATGTACACTCAAAACTGACACACTTATTTCTGCCCACTTACTATTAACCAAAACAAGCCATCTCGCCAAGTACAGAGTCAAAGGATGATGGGGAAATACACTCCTTTCACCTTGCCATAGCAAAGATATGGCTGTGAGAAGGAATGACAAATTAGGGCCAATCATTTAGCCTACAACAGTCAGTGACAGGTGACAGTCCTGGTTACTGTCCACCTTTGTCCTCTTTCTGCAAATAATACCTGAGCAATTACATTGAGCAAAGTGTTTGTTGAAATACCTTTCCTGTTCTAGACAAGCCAAGCCAGGTAAGGTTATAACACCTGATCACCTGAAAAGGGACAAAGGTAACAAATGCCTGGCTAGGATGAGTAACTTCTATCAATAGGACCATAAGATCAATGTGCTAGGAACTGAAACAAAAGCCCATCATCCATGCATTCAAATAATTTAATATCTATTAGATTTTAGTGGAATATATGCATTATATGTACATACGTATACAACACTAGTTCACAATAGTTTACAAGGATACTTTGGTTTTCTATATGCTTAGAATATGCATTATTTTCATGAGTTAATACTGGTTTCCGTTTTATGTTGCAAAGTCCTGAGTGAAAAGGATTGTTGCCTTTTTTAAATGATAGAACCTAAAATGTTACAGTTTATTCCATCTTTGTGATTACAGACATTACAGGATAGGGTAGCTAAACAAGGCAAATAAAGCAAACATTCCCTTAATTTAACCAGATGCAACATTTTGGCATTTTTATACTGTGCGTGTTGACTTAATTCATTGACATGGATTGAAAGCCGGCAACAACAAATCTTTGCAATTTAGGATCTTCTTCCATAACTAAGTTTTGTGGGGTTTTTTTTCACCCTGGCTGGAGTGCAGTGGTGCAATCTCAGCTTACTGCAACCTCCACTTCCTAGGTTCAAGCGATTCTCCCTCAGCCTCCCTAGTAGCTGGGATTACAGGCGCCCACCACCACACCTGGCTAATTTTTGTATTTTTAGTAGAGGCAGGGTTTCGCCACGTTAGCCAGACTGGTCTTGAACTCCTGACCTCAGGTGATCCACGCACCTCGGCCTCCCAAAGTACTGGGATTACAGGCATGAGCCACTGTGCCTGGCCAAATTTTTTTGTAGAGATGGAATCTTGCTGTGTTGCCCAGGCTGGTCTTGAACTCCTGGCCTCAAGGGATCCTCCCGCCTGAGCCTCCTAAAGTGCAATAGGATTATAGGCAAAAGCCACCATTCCTGGCCCACTGCAACATTCTTGAAGCTCTCAAGTCTTCATCTGACACCTTGTTAAGTGGGGAACTCTGTTAAACCATCCTGTTAAGTTACTATATAAAAATAAAACTGCTCCCAAGCATTGATTGAAACTGTTTTGCTAGAGCTTCCTGAGAGAAAAGTGAAGCCTAACCATTTTTTTCCATGAACTATGACCCCAGTACAGTGTACCTAATGTCCTTCACAGCCTAACAAAAGAGGTCAGGCAACCCTGCTCATCCTGTCTAGTTTATCAGTATTTAGATGTAAGGTGGATTTAAAGCTAATCTGGGACCAAGAATTGCAGCTGTAATTCCAAAAAGTCATTCAATTTAGCACATAAATGTTTCCTGCAAGATGCCAGAGCAAGTGAGAAACCACTCTGTAGCAAAGAGTGATGGTGGTTCATCATCTTTTACAACTGAAAGGCAAACATGAAGAAGGAAATTATATTCTCCCTCCTAAAATTCCTCATTAAATTGATAAGCTATCTTTACAGCCTTTATGGATGACATCCAGAGTCCTCGGTTTCTTCATTTGAGGAGTCCATTTTTAAGGTGGCCAAAAGGGGAAAAAGAGCTTTCAGGTTTCTCTTTGCTATGGCTCATGAATGCCAGGTCTCCTTTATTGCTTTCTGAACACACTGCTGGGAAACCTTGATGAGGTCAGTGCTGAAATCCCTGCAGCCGTCCCCCTGGAGGAACTTCTTGGCAAACCTGCGTTGAAGAAACACTGATTGCATTCACGCTTCATGCCGGGGTTTGCCTTCCCCACACTGCTCCTGGCGACGGTGGTGAGGCAGCACTCGGATGTTGTCACCTGTTCATTATTTTTTCAGTTCTATTCCCAATTCCTAACCCTCCTTTTGAGACACAACTAGGTATGTGCACTTCAAATGCTCCAGAAAAATCCAAGGTCAAATTTCAAATAGGATGGTTATGGTCACCATAAAGGTGGTGACGTTTGAGTGGTGGAAGAGGGTGCAGGACGACACTGCAGGCAGAGGAACACAGCCAGGACACTATTAGGAGTAACTCTGATCGTGGCTTGTGATGATACAGTATAATTCAACACAGGTTAGAGCCGTTACTATGATCGTTCTTTCCTAAGAAGTTTTGATTTTGGAGAAAAGAACCTTGAGGATCGGTGGGGGCTTTCTTGGCCTGAAAGGTATCACCGGCAGCAGGAGCAGGAGGCTGCCCACGTTTCGTATTTTCACTTGGGGTGGACGTTGGCTGCAACCCTCAAACGCTGGGAGTCGTCAACCTACTGAGCCCTGTTGTCCAATGTGCCCTGGGCAAGGATGTGGGTGCAAATCCTGCCTCCGGGCGACCACCGGCCTCCTTGGCTTCACTGTCCAATTAGAAAAAAAAAAAGAAAGTAGAAAGTCGGTAAGAAATCCGTGAAAGGGGTCTGTCCTCCACCCCGACTCAAGCCAGGAGACATCACAGAACATACCCGCACGCGACGTCCGGGCCCCAGCAAGTGTAGCCGGGATTTTTCCCCCGCCACGCCCCTCGGCCACGCCCCCTGCGTTTGGCCCAGCGCCGGGGCGGGGCCGGCCTGCGATTGGCCGGGACCACGACGGCGTCCGGGCGCGCCACGTGTGCGTGGGAGCGCACCGGAAGCGTCCGGCTGGAGGCGCGGCGGCTGGCCTGGGCGGCGGTGGCCGTCATGGAGCGGGAAGAGGATTCCTTGTCCGCGCGGCCGGCCCTGGAGACCGAGGGACTGCGCTTCCTGCACGTCACGGGTGAGTCGTTGCGGGGCAGCAGGGGCGCGCCGCCACCATGATCGGTGGGTCGTCCTTTGCTGCTCGGGGCGCCGGAGCCTGGGAGGCCTGGGAACGGACGGGCGTTGGCGCTTACGCGGACTCTGGGCAGCAGGCCCGGACCTTGCGCTGAGTCTTCTCGGGAGCCGCACTTCCCTAGGCGGCTCGGCTGGCCGTTGTTTGCGCAAGTCTTTTTTTGCCAACCAAGCCCTTATTGTTGTAGTTACTGGGGTCACTCGGCCCTTGGCGTTTGCCTCTGGGACCTGCCCCACACAGCCCCCTACACACCCCTAACCCCGCGCTGTCACCCCTTTGTATGTGGTTCCCTAGGTCTGAAAGGCCTTTGCCTTCCTGATTCAGATTAGTTGCTCTTCATTCTTCAAAACCCAGTTGCTGTGCCCTCTACACTCTGACTGCCCCCGACTCCCCAGATGGTTGAGAAGTCTCACTTCTCAGTGATTCCTGAAGTGTCGCACTTCTTGTTCATATTTTAACGATCTATTTAGGAGGCTTTGTTCTCAGCCTAGACCATGAAGGCTTTGAGGTCAGGAGTTAGACTGACTTTGCGTTCGTTGAGTCTTATGGAAAGGTCAACTAATAGTGTCATTTTTAGTTTTTTTGAAAACTTTTTTTTTCCTTTTCAGTGGGCTCTTTGCTGGCCAGCTATGGCTGGTACATCGTCTTCAGCTGCATCCTTCTCTACGTGGTCTTTCAGAAGCTTTCCGCCCGGCTGAGAGCCTTGAGGCAGAGGCAGCTGGAGCGAGCTGCGGCTTCTGTGGGTTAGTGCCCGATAACCGAAATGAAAGCGGTGGTTTTACACCTACTTCTTAAGATTTAGTCTCTTGTTAAAAGTAAGACGGACCACATAGCAAGACCCTGTCTCTATTTAAAAAAAAAAAAAACAGCCGAGAGTGGCAGCACACACCTGTAGTCCCAGTGCTTAGGAGGCTGAGGCGGGAGAATAACTTGAGTCCAGGAAGTCAAAGCTGCAGTGGGCTATGATCGGGCCACACAACACTCCAGCCTGGGCGATTGATTGAGACCTTGTTTTTTGTTTTGTTTTGTTTTGTTTTTTAAAAAAGGAAGCATATGGTTCTTGGATGGGCGCGGTGGCTCACGCCTGTAATCCCAGCACTTTGGGAGGCCAAGGCAGGCGGATGACTTGAGGTCAGGGTTCAAG